TAAACAAATCAGAGCTCCTGAGTTCAACAACATCTTGGGCAGAATGAACAATTCACAACGCCTACAATGCCACATCTTTAAAACAGAAATCAAATCAATATCTACAAATCTAAGAACTTTCTCAAATTGAGTATTGCCAAATTGGAACAAATGTTATCTAGTGATGTTTAACATCTCAACCGGTGCAAACTATACCGAACAATTCAAGTGCCACTGGAAACTACTCATAAATTGATTAAACATCTTAGAAGGAAAATTCTTTACATCACTCTATATTTCTCATCTCACACTCCTCAATTTCCCAAAATCCTAAGAACTAATCAACTTAAGCAGCACAATCCTCTAATTCCAAGTAAATAGCATAATGGTTGAAAGGAAACTTCCTTGATGGTTGACTGGACTCGAATCCACGATTGTTGATTTCCCTTTGAGGAATATCAAAAATTAGTCTAACCTGAATCATTTAAGACTTTCATATTTTTATAGCGTTGTTGTCAGAACTCAAAATCCGACAATCAACTTCGTGGCACAATCAAAGAATTTTACTGCTCGTTTGGTGAGTATTTGGTGTAGCAGCATCACATAACTGATTGACTCCCTGACCGTCCAATCTCAAGAGAAAATCTGCGAGGTCTGTTTAATCTCCCAGACCCATCACCAAAATGCAGCTCTCTTTGATGATTCCGGTAAAATCAACAAACAACCGAGACGTCCAAGCTCTAGACATTCATTGTTCTCCACAATCGCCTATCTAAGTGGATGTAAGCTAGATACCGCGTGCTATGTTTAGATGATGATTTATGGAGCTTGTTAGCGAGGGGTTCCTTGAAGCTTGGAAAATAGGTGATTTTTCCGGTGGTGATTGGAACCCTTCCCGATGGCAAATCGAGTCAACAACAAACTCTGTCGGCAAATCAAATCAAGTCAAATGTCTTTCTTTCATAGAGAGACTGAAGAGTAGGGAAAAACATGAAGAAACAGAAAACAAAACAGGTTAATGTCCGTTAGAATAAACCAAAATATCTACTCGGCCCATCAACATTACAAAAGTTTAGGCCCATGTAATAGCATAAGAAGTTTAGTTTTTTACAAACTTGGGCTAGGCTAATTTCTATTTTGTTTTAACATAAGAAGTTTTGTTTTTTAAGAATTTCGGCTGGGCTAATTTTAATTTTTTTTTTAATAGAATGACATGTACAAATACTAACGTCTGATTGGTCAACAAAAATGATTTGTATTAAACGAAATGTTCTAATTGGTTGTTGATTTTAACAGAGGTGTCAAGCTGAGAAGAACTAAAAAAGCTGATGTGTTAGCACATGAGCGATTCTTATTGTTTTTATAGTATTGATATAATTATACATAATCAAATATATATTACAAAAACGGAATAAAACTAGCGCATGCGGTGTGCACTGCGGGTTAAATCCTAGTTACTACTAAAATGTGAACATTTTTGTATAGGATCATCAAGTTTGTGCTTGGTAGTTAGGTTTTTGAGGCCTAACTATTGTGTGTTCTATTTCCCCTTAAACACTAACATGTCGATGTAGCAATAAGGGGTGTCAATTGATTTCACTATGATTGTTAGGCAATCAAGATGTGTACAGAAGCAACTAAGTCAAACCAAAATATAGTGATGGTGGGTTTTAAATAACAGCCTTAACTAAAGTTTCAAACAATAAAATACGAACTAAAGTGCCTTACTCGATCAAAGAGGCGAGTAGAACCCTATAGGCAACATATTCAAGTACTAAAATACAATAACAGGTGAATGAACATGGTAAAGGAAAATAGACAAATAAATCAAAGAAGAATAGAAGTTCTAAGGATGCATTCATGAATAAGAGCAAACTGTGAGATCTATTAGGTGGCTGACAGGCAAAATACAAATACCCTAAAGAAAATGTTTTAAAACAGATCAATGCATTCTCGTATCATTGACCCTCAAACTGAGCTAGGTGCAGACTCGGTTTTGTCGACGGACTCAAACTCATCAGGCACTAAGCACCAACAGATTAAAGTCAAAAAGCCTTCCAAAGAGCCATCTTTGGGATAGAGAAACTAATCTCTAGAATTAGTAGATCAGGTATACCATTAGAACATCTTTTGGATGCTGAAATGCCTCAGGGCAAATTCTAATTGATCAGAAAGAAATAAGCATGAAGCATAACTAATCCAGAAGGGATCTTACCTAATCTTAACCAGCTTACAAAACTAGATATTACCCTAATCTAATTCATTCTCAAGAACCCTAATTACTACTCAAGCAACGTAATCAAGAACACAAACCCAGAAATATCTATAGACATATCAAATTGTAGATCTAAGCAAAATAAACAACTTTCTTCAAAGAATTAAATGCAAAAACAAAATAGATTGATAGTAATTAGAGTTTAAAGATTCTAAATCACAAAAATGGTTCAGAGAATAAAAGCTTGGTCCTTTGGACAAATCCAAAATTACTTATTTATAGTAAAAAGTTGAAAACCCTAGGTCACTAGAAGACAATAGTTTTGAGGCGGTTTAGTGATATGCTCGACCCTTATCATTGAGTGACTAGGGTGCGGTAAAGATTGTGCTTTTGCCTCTATGCTTTGAGTGATCACTTGTCGAGTGGTTGCTTCTTCCTCTCCTCTTCTTACGCTCAACTGTCTGGTTAAGTGGGGAAATGAGGAGGATCCGCAGGCGCATGGATCGATCATCTCGTCAAGTGGAATCCGTCGGTTACGCTCGAGTAATTGGATGAGTGATTGGTTGAGTGGTGGGTCGAGTGGTGATCTCTGGCTTCCTCCGCAGCTATGTGATAGAGTGAATGCTTCCCCTTTGGTGTGATTGAGCAATATGGTCGAGTAAGCTCCTTATGCACCTGAAAACACACCCAAACATGCAATGCGTTTATAGAATGATCCTAAATGCCTAAATGTGCAAAATATCCTAAAGTGATGCAAAAAGATATGAAACAACGAGTTATTACAGAGCTAAATGATGACAAATGCATGTATGAATCGAGCTAAAAGGTCCTCTTCTTCCTTGATGAAGACATCTTCATATTTTGCATCTTCTCTTGATAAGTCTGAAACTGAGCACTCAATAACTCTTTCCTCAAAATAAACTCCTTTCTGATCTGCTGGGTAATCTTCTTCTTCAAGCCATTCTGTTGTGAACTCATTTCCTTTCTTTGCTAGTTAGAGCAATAGCCATCTCATTTGTATCAATGCTGATTGGTTGTTGATTGGCCTCTTTTTTAAAATCCCATAGTTATTCTTTCAGCTTCATCACAGTTCCAGACTGCCCTTCTTTTACTCTGCTTTGCCATTTAAGTTTCTCTTCAGCTCATGCTAGTCATCTACTAAAGGGTCTTCAGTTTGAGTTAACCCTTTTATGGTTCTTCTCTAGCGTTCAAAACTCTTTTTCAGCTTGCTGAGTTGAGAGGTAGGGTTTGATCTTGTTGGGCTTCCAGCTTATGGTTCTTCATTAATAACCATGTCATGGATCCCAAGATTGTGTCCTTCTATTTTTGGTTTTGTTGTAGCATTGTTGATATCAAATTTCCCCTTAATGCCTTTTCCAAGGTTCAGATCAATTTTTCTATTCTTGACATCTATGACTACTCCAGCTGAGGCTAAGAATGGTCTTCGCAAGATCAGGGGATTCTTTCCCTCTTCATCCATGTCCAACACTACAAAGTTTGTAGGTATCTTAACATTTCCAATTCTGATCGGCAAATCTTCAATTAACCCATGAGGACGTGCAACAGACCTATAAGCCAAGAGCAAAGATAGGTTGCAAAACTCGTACTCGACGACCACTAGCCTTTTAGCTGTAAAGAGGGGCATAAGCCTAATAGATGCTTCGAAGGTCAATGGTCCTAGGAAGCATGGTAGAGTGAATGAACCAATGTCATCTAGCTTTTCTAAAATGACTTTCTTCTTATCTTTTTCTTAAGCGATGACACGGCTAAACATCATTGGATTCTGATCTTTCTAAATCTTTTCCATTAAGAAATTCTTCACAAAATGCTGAGTGTCCATTAGAGGTATGTATTCCATAGTCCAGATGACTTTCTTATAAGCAGGTGCAACATTGTAACTTGACCCCCCCCTTCTTGAATCATATTGTCTTCAGTGATTTTCGTGGAGGCATACGATGAGATGGAGACTCATCGTCTTGTTGAATGATGATAGCGTGGGCAGTAGCATAATCTTTGGGATTCTGAACTGCTTATCTTAGAAGTTGTTAAGGGTGTTTCTGAGTAGAGGAAGATGCTATATGACCTTCCAGACACTTCACTTTTGAATTGAGAGCATGAAACTTGACGTTTAGATCATTGTAATCTTGTTGTGTAGTTCAGCTACTTTTTTCGAAAGTCAAAGCTTCAGTGGCTTGTCCCTTAATGATATGTTAAATCAATTGCTTTACTTCAAGATCTTGTGCTGTTGGGGCTTGTTGTGGTTGTTGTGTGAACCCTGGTGGTGGATTTTGCTGTTGATAACCTTCGTTGAACTACTTCTTAGGGGCAAATACTTGGTTATAGGGAACATATGTCTTAGACTGATTCTGCTATTGTGGATACATTAGTGCTTCTGTAGGAGAGGTTCAAGTTAGACTTGTAATTGTTGTAATCTTTGTTGAATCCTTCTTGGTTATGAATGTAGATGCTTTCGTTAGTGTGATCGTTCCCCCCTTCTTGCATCTGGAAATGCTCTTCATCAGTTATGTAGTGTATCTGCTTCTGTGGTGCCAACAACAGTTTATTCAGCTTGTCATTTAGAACCCTGATTTCTATCATGTGTCTATCTTGAGTGTCTCCAGTTCCTCTCACTGATCGATCATATTCTTCATTGTAGCACTCATCAGACTGTACCAAATTTTCGACTAAGTCTCATCCTTTTTCTACATCCTAATTCAAGAAGTTTCCATTGGAAGCAGTGTTGAGTAGCATTCAAATCTATGGTAAAACTCCTTTATAGAGAGTACTTAATAAGAAAGCACTCTTAAAGCCGTGATGGGGGCAATGAGTGGTATAGCTTTTAAACCTCTCCCAAGCTTCACAGAATGTTTTATTGTTCTTCTGGGTAAAGCCTGAGATTTTGTTCCTCAGCAGAGCTGTGCGAACGTTGTAGAAGAACTTGGCTAGGAAAGCTTTCTTGCAATTGTCCCATGAAGTGATTGAGTTTGGAGGTAAAGTCTTTTCCCAGTGTTGTGCCTTGTCGCCCAAAGAGAAGGGAAAGAGTCTTAGCTTAAATCCATCTTCAGTTACACCATTGATTTTGGTTAGGCTACATAGCCTATCAAAGCTATCAAGGTGTTCTAAAGGGTCCTCCATTGGCAAGCCATGAAATTTGTTCCCTTGGATCATAGAGATAAGACCGCTCTTAATTTCAAAGTTGATATTAGGAACCGGCGGTGGCACTATCCCTTGTCTTTGGTGAAAATTTCTTGGGGCATCACGAGCACCAATGTTTCTTGATTGATCAACATTAGGTGGATCTTGTATCTCAACTCCTCTGTTCAGTTGATTAATAACAAATGGTTTTGCTGATCACAGTCTGCTTTTTCTTTGGTTTCTTGTAACTCATGAGCTATCCTATCAATGTTGTCTTTGAAAGGAAGTAGGGGTGCAATTCCTTTGGAACGAGTGTGCATGCATGAAGATTAGTACCTACACCACAAAGACAAGTAGAAGAAAAGCTGAGTTAGTAACCAGAGTAATGTAAAAAAACTTGATCTTAAAAGTTTCTGAGATCTTGAATGTAACAAGCGATCTTTACTCAGATGTCATATAAATTAGGTATATTTACGAGAACCTTATAAATTTTTTTTTTTTATTACTGTCATATTTTGGTCCATTTTGTATACCCATCGTGCCCCTACTAAACGTTACAGGAAATAACGTAATTATAAAGAATGCCACTGCCACATCAGCAAAACCGTGTCGCCACGACAGAAATTGCTGACAGCCGTAAGGCGATAAAGAGGCAGTTACGGCTAAGTTACGCTATGTTGCAGCTGACAAAATGACTGAGTTATGAGAAAACAACGGACTTATGAGTATAACTCAGCCTATAGTTATGGCTGATTTATAAAATTTGTCTGAGTTATGAGATAATCTAGCTTACGTTACGGCTGAGTTAATGAAATTTGTCTGAGTTATGAGAATTTCGAGCATAACCCAGACAACATTGTGGCTAAATTATGAGAAAATGGCTGAGTTATTTCCTCAACACGACTCAGTTATCTTTTTTGGCTAGCTGAGTATTCAAAGACGCCTTAGTTATGGGATAACTCGGCCTTGTTACGGCTGATTTAGTAACGAAAGATTAATTACTATAAGAGCATGCAATTACGGTCGAGTTATTAAACGATACAACTAAGTTAAAGATTGTTGGTTGAGTTACGACATTAGAAGGCTGAATTAACTTGGCGTTTTTTCTTTTTTTAAATTACTATAATAGTATTCATGTTGCGACTGACTTATAGTTTTGTTTCATGGCTGATTTATTTAGGCAAATTTACATGTTCGTTTGGTGGCTTACTTGCCAATTCATCAATTAAAAAATGAAGTCGGATGCAACATTCGACGTCATCATTCCATCTCATCATCATCAACAGAAATACGAAACGTCCCTAATTTTTTTCAACTCGTCTTCTTCTTCGCTGTGTTGTTCTTCACCCGAGTTGTCCTTAACCTATGTTTTTTCACATCACAAGAACTTCTAATTCATCATCGTCTTCCTCATTTCTTCTTCATTTTCTTTCATCCTTCTCCTGATATGCTTGCCTCTAATTGTTGTAAACAACCCAAGAAGGCCCAAGAAAATTAGGATTAAATTATCTTTGGAAGTTGGTATTGGAAATAAACGCCTTAGAAAGCAACACGCATGTTCTCTATCTAAACAAGTTGGGCATAATGCTAAAACTTGTTAGACAAAGTATTGTTTGCAAGAATTTTCTTTTTCTTCATTATTTGTTAGCAGTAATATGTAGTTCGTGTGACAAATCACCTGTCATTGTAGACTCTAAGAACCATAACACATTATAACTCATTGAGTTTTAACGTTTCGTGACAAATCAATTGTACGGATTATAACTCAGCCATAACATGTAAGGTTCCGTAAATTTACATGTCACGGCTGAGTTATATGCTTCGGGAAAGACGAAAGGTTGTGTACATGATATTTTACGGCTGAGTAATAATGCTTCGGGAAAGACGAAAGGTTCGGTAAATTTACATGTCACGGCTGAGTTATATGCTTCACGGAAGATGAAACATTTGGTAATTACATGTCACAGTTAGTTATATGCTTTAGAGAAGACGAAAGGTTGTGTAAATTATATGTTACGGCTGATTTGTAATGATTTACATATTACGACTGAGTTACATCACTTTACGGCTGAGTTATAATACATATCGAAAACAACATATTTTGGGAAGAAAATATGAAATTTATTGGTCAAATAACAATAATAGAATTAAAAAATGTAAGAATATGTTTGAGGGATACGTAGGAGGAAGACTAAACCGTATGAATCAAAACATAGATAGAAGTAGAACAATCACTAGTCAACAAAACCGTATGAATCAAAACATAGATAGAAGTAGAAATATCTCCAAAGAGATCGATCGAGAGGAAGACTAAATGAGAGACATGTAAAATCAAAGTAAAAAAGTAGCTATTCTTGATTTTAACTCAAACCTGTAACGAATCATGTAGAATTCTATATATCTCTTTGATTGGGGTTTTGATTTTTGATGACGTTTTTTGTGAGCGAGGTTGCGAGTATATCTGACGAAGCTTTTGATTTGGGACCCTATGGCAAGCGTTGTGGCTGTGAGGTTTAGGAAGATCCAGCCCATTCCTGCAATTTGAAGATCTCTGTCCATGTTATACCCAAGTTGCAGATTATTAGATCTAAAGACTTTTCTTGGATTTGGAGACAAAAAGGAGAAGAGGGGAAATAAAGTGAGTTTGAGGAGAGTGAGATTGGTGATGTGGGTTAATGACATAGATAATCCAATTTTTATATATTATTCTTAATTAAAAATGAATTAATAATTATTAATTAAAAAAACTCATCCAGGGGACTATTTGGCATGAAAAGTTTGTACCGAACCGCTTCATATCACTTATGTAAACAACTTCCCTCAAGATTGGCTCGTTTGAGCCCTAAATAATATCTGATGACAAAAAAAAACTAATCAAAGATGTTAACTGTAATTACACAAGTGCTCAAAACGTATGAGTAATTTTTAAAAAATGTATGATATTTTAGTAATAAACATACTTTTCTATAACATCTAAGTAATTAATTCATGTAACAATGAATTGACAACGACACAAAATTGATAGTTAGGTTTTTGAGGCCTAACTATTGTGTGTTCAATTTTCCTTTAAACACTAACATGTCGATGCAGCAATAGGGGGTGTCAATCCATTTCATTCTGATTGCTAGGTGGTCAAGATGTGTACAAAAGCAACTAATTCAAGCCAAAATACAATGATGGTGGGTTTCTAGTAACAGTCTTAACTCAAGTTTCAAACAATAAAAAATACAAACTAAAGTGCCCTACTCGATCACAGGGTTGAGTAGAACCATGAAGGCAACATATTCAAGTACTAAAATGCAATAACAGATAAATGAACAAGTTAAAGGAAAATACACAAATAAATTAAAGAAGAATAGAAGTCCTAAGGACGGATTCATGGATAAGGGCAAACTGTGAGATCTATAAGGTGGCTACAGGCGAAAGACAAATACCCTAAAGAAAATGTTTTAAAACAAATCAAAGCACTCTCGTATCATTGACCCTCAAACTAAGCTAGGTCCAGACTCGGGTTTTGTCGACATAATCTAATTCAATAGGCACTAAACACCAACAGAGTAAAGCCAAAAGAGCCCTCTAAAGGGCCATCTCTCGGATAGATGAACTAATCTCTAGAATTAGTAGATCAGGCATACCATAGACCATCTTTGGATTCTGGAATGCCTAAGGGCAAATTCCAATTGATCAGAAAGAAATAAGCATGATGCATAATTAATCGAGAAGGGATCTAACCTAATCTTAACCACATGATAAACCTAGATATTACCCTAATCTAATTCATCCTCAAGAACCCTAATCACTACTCAAGCAACATAATCAAGAACACAAACCCATAAATTTCTAGAAACATATCAAATTGTAGTTCTAAGCAAAATAAACAACTTTCTTCAAAGAACTAAATGCAAAAACGAAATAGATTAAGAGTAATTAGAGTTTAAAGATTCTAAATCACAAAAATAGTTTAGAGAAGAAAAACTTGGACCTTTGGACAAATCCAAAATGACCTATTTATAGTAAAAAGTTAAAAACCATAGGTCACTATTGTCGGTGTCGGTCCCGCACCGAAATTCAGGACCAACCAAAGATTGCCACGTGTAAGGACGGTAAGCCCATTAAGAGTAAGGCCCATGAGATTGCCAGTCGAAAGGAAGATAATGGGCGAGGTGGTCATGTGTCGAGGTACTACAAGAAAACAGTCAACTACCGACTACAACCGGCGAGTACAGTAATAGTCGCTATATTTAGTGACTATTCAGCTACAATTTTACGACTATAGTATAACTAATAGGTTTACAGTTGCTCATTAGTCGCTAAATTCACTACACAAACGAGACGCCTTAGTAGTCGCTAATTAGCGACTAATCTATGACTAATTTGGCTGTTTGATATTATCAAACGAGACGCCTTAGTAATCGCCAAAGTTAGTCGTATATTAGTCGCTAAACAGCGACTACATGTACGACCCGCCGTAGTAGTCGCAAAAAAGCGACTATTTTACGACTATTACGGCGTGTCATTAACCATAGTCGCAAAATAGACGTAAGTTTCAATTAAAAAGCACATGTTTAGCGTTTTGTAAGTTGGTGTACCGATTTTAGACGAATACTTAATATAGTCGCGTTTTAGTCACTTAAAAATTGTCTATATAATGAAAATTTCACGTACACAAAATTCATTCACAACACAGACAATATATCTAAAAGAAAAAACGTTTTTGGAAAAAAAACGAAAAAAATAAATATTAGTTTTATTATTGGTCTTATAATGGCGGGAAACTATAATTATACCAATAGTGGTGGTTTTAATCGAGAGTGGATGTACAAGAGGTTTGATGAAGTGACAGAAAATTTGTCAGCAGAATATGTCGTTGGAGTGGAGGAATTCTTGACATTTGCTAATAGCCAGCCAATAGTACAAAGTTGTCGAGGTAAATTCCACTGTCCTTGTGCTGTGTGCAAGAATGAAAAACATATCGTCTCGGGTAGAAAAGTTAGTAGTCATTTGTTTAGTCAAGGATTTATGCCTGATTATTATGTTTGGTATAAGCATGGAGAAGATTTCAACATGAATGTACGAACGAGTAATTATGTTGATAGAACGTATGTAAGAGAGAATTCTGAAAGTGTGGGTAATGTTGTAGAAGATCCATATGTAGATGTGGGTAATGTTGTAGAAGATCCATATGTGGATATGGTGAACGATGCATTTCGTTATAACGTGGGGTTTGATGATAACTATCATCAAGACGGTACTTATCAGAAAATGGAGGAACCGGTACGTAACCATTCTAAGAAACTCTATGACTTGTTAGAAGGTTCTCAAAATCCATTGTACGATGGTTGTCGTGAAGGCCAATCACAGTTATCGTTAGCAGCTTGAGTCATGCAGAACAAGACGGATCATAATATGAGTGAAAAGTGTGTGGATTCGGTATGTCAAATGTTGACAGATTTTTTACCAGAAGTAAACCAAGCTACTGATTCGCATTACAAGACAGAAAAATTGATGCGCAATTTAGGCCTTCCTAATTATACAATTGATGTTTGTATTAACAATTGTATGCTTTTCTAGAAAGAAGACGAAAAGGAAGATCAATGTCGGTTTTGTGGTACTCAAAGATGGAAGCCTATGGATGACTACCGTCGAAGAACCAAAGTGCCATATAGTCGTATGTGGTATCTACCTATTGGTGACCAATTGAAGAGAATGTATCAGAGCCACAAGACAGCAGCTGCAATGCGTTGGCATGCCGAGCACCAATCAAAAGAAGGAGAAATGAATCATCCTTCAGATGCGACAGTGGAGATATTTCCAAGAGCTACATCCCTTGTTTACCGAAGAACCCCATAATGTTTATCTCGGATTATGTACCAATGGATTCAATCCATTTGGCATGTGGCGAAATCAATCGTTGTGGCCTGTGATCCTGACTCCATATAATTTACCACCCGGTATGTGCATGAATACAGAGTACTTGTTTCTTACAATTCTGAATTCTGGGCCAAATCACCCGCGAGGTAGTCTCGATGTCTTCCTCCGACCTCTTATTGAGGAGCTAAAAGAGTTATGATCTATGGGAATCGATGCATATGATGTGTCTTTGAATCATAATTTTAATCTAAGCAGTGCTGCTGTGGACAATAAGCGACTTTTCGGCGTACAGCATGTTATCCGGATGGACAACCCACGGTAAATTGTCTTGTCCAATTTGCATGGAAAGTACTAAGTCTTTTTATCTACCTAATGGAAGGAAGACGTGCTGGTTTGATTGTCACCGAAGATTTTTTCCTAATTGTCATCCATTACGGAAGAACAAAAAAGACTTCTAAAAAGGAAAAGAAGCCTCTACCGAGTATCCACCTGAGTCTTTAACCGGTGAGCAAATTTATCACGAGCGGT